TAGGCCTTTTCCCTGACTATTCCTGAGCTGAAACTGATCAGGGGTCACACAGCCTGCTCAGGATCTGGGAGAGGAACAGAAGCACTGCCCTCTGTACACAGTGAGCGTGATGCCCACCCCCAAAGGCCCACCCGGGCAGCCCCAGACTTCTGGAGGATTCCTGAGTCCCTAAGCCCCCCCACCTCTCCCCCGGCTTGTGGAGAGTCTTTCCTGCCCTCCTTTCCCGAGTCTTAAATGAATGGGGTCCTGGCTCCCACTCAAGGCCCAGGCTCCTCCACAGGGGCCTGTCTCACTGTCTGTGGGTGCCTCCCTCCCCCACCCAGGCTCAGCCTCTCCATCCCAGGTCCTCTCAGGCCTAACTCCTGGCCCACCCCACCCCCAGCCACCCGCTCCTCTCTCTAGCCCTTCTCAGCCAAGCTTCTTGAAAGAGCTGTCTTTACCCTTCAGCCACCACTCGCTGCTCACTCCCTGCCCTCTGACCTTCCTGCTTCCTCCTCTCCAGCACTGAATTCACCCTGGGACCCTGCTCTCCCGGTTCTGGGGAAGGCACCTCCTCAGATTCCTCTCCGCCCGCCGGGCAGACCCAGCTTACCCCCAGGAGCTGGCGCAGGCCTCACCTCTTCTCTCTGGACGTTCCTCCTGCATTTCCCAGTTCTCACCAACCCCATTCCCGAGGCTGCCCCACCTGCCTCCAGCCGCGACCACTCCCCTGAGCCCCAGCTCTGTGCTCAGTTTCCAGCTGAGCGTCTCCACCTGCCTGGCCCTCAGCTGCCTCCACCATGTTGCTGCTGTTCCCTTCTCCCGGTTACTCGCTTCTCCTCCTCTCCCAGGTGTCACTTCTGACCCTTCCTTACAGGGCAGTAACGAATTTCTCTAGCCTATATAACGCCTTAGTGCAGTTAGAAAAGGCTCCTCGCAGCCACCTCGGGCGCTACGCACCGCTTTCCCGGGTGTCCCTGCACTGTAGCCAGCCTACACAACTGTGCAAGACAGCCCTGTGCCTCGGTCCCCAAACCCCCATCCGATCCTGCGGACTCTGCCTCCTCTGCTTCTCTCCCTGCTGTTGCTTCTCCTTCCCCACAGTCTCCGCCCTCACAGAGACCTCGTATCCTCCCAACACGCAGCCCAGAACCTGGTGCACCCCAGACACTCACTGAAGGTTTGTTCAATCAAATGGCTAATCCGTTTCATCTGACGTGATCATAACGGCCTCTCTCCACCTCACCCTCAGTGTCTGTTTCTGTCTGTGCGTCCGCAGAGCCTGCCACGGTTCTCCTCAAGCCTTAGCGTGCGCCAGGCGGTTTTTCAAAACGCAGGCTCTCAGGTGCCCCCAGGGATCCCGGAGGTGGGGTAGGGCCCCAAACCTGCACCTCTAATGAGCCCTGTCTCTGGTCTGTGGACCGCACTTCGGCTCTGCTCTGCCCATGCGCCTCCCCTGCTCTGCATTCTCCAGTGGCTCCCTAGTACCAACACGATGAATTCCGTGTAAATCTCCCATGGCTTCCAGGAGGAGGAGGCACACTTTACACTCAGCAGGAGGTGAATTCATTAAGATGGGAAGGGGGGTAAAAAGGGTGGAGCCCCGAACAGCCCTGAGATCATGACTGGGAGCACACACTAAGAGTTCTGTGTGAGGGAGCCATGGGGGTGGGCGCCACACCCACCTCCGTCCCTTCCTTTGTGTCTCTCCGTCACTAAGGCCAGGTCCTCACCTGCCTGTGTGTCCCAGGCATCTCTTGGGGCGTCTCCTCCTGTCTCTATGCACCGTTCCATCCGCCTGCCCGTCTCAGCGGTCCCGCTTGTCTTTTTTTAAACAGATATTTTATTTAGCTCTGGCTGGCGTAGCTCAGTGGATAAAATCTTTTTTAAAAAGATATTTTATTTATTTATTTTAGACCGAGGGGAAGGGAAGGAGAAAGAGAGGGAGAGAAGCATCAATGTGTGGTTGCCTCTCATGCACCTCCCACTGGGGACCTGGCCGGCACTCAATCCACTGAGCCACACCAGCCAGGGCTGCTTGTCTTCTTTTTTTTTTAAAATTACTTTTTAAATTCATTCATTGATTTTAGAGAGAGACGGGAAGAGGGGGAGAGAGGGACAGACACTAATTTGTTGCTCTGCTTATTTATCCCTTCATTGGTTAATTCTTTTTTTTTAAGATTTTATTTATTTATCTTTAGAGGGGAAGGGAAGAAGAGAGGGAGAGAAATATCAATGTATGGTTGCCTCTCGCTGGGGGCGCCCCCTGCTGGGAACTGGCCTGCAACCCAGGCATGTGCCCGGACTGGGAATCGAATCGTAATCCCTTGGTTCGAAGGCCCGCGCTCAATCCACTGAGCTACACCAGCCAGGGCCATTGGTTGATTCTTGTATGTGCCCTGACCAGGAACTGAACGCGCAACCTTGGCCCCTGCTTGTCTTTCTCTGCCCTCTCCTATGTGCTTGCACCTACACCCCGTCTGAGTTCCAGGCTCTGCACATCTCTCGCTGTTGGTCTCCTGATGGGACCCCCGAAAAGACTGGCCCCGACAGCCCTGATGCCCATGCTAACTTCAGGTGCGTGTGTGACCTCCCTGATGATTCCTGAGCAGCCCCACAAGGTCAGCACGGGGGCCCGTGGGGTCCAGTGCCCGTGAGCAGAGCCCTCTGTCCTCAGGGACCAGTATGGGACTCTGGCCTCCTCCAATTTAAATGTGCAAGTGTGAGGGCTGCTCCCAAACCAAAGGGCTGCCTGGCATCTGGGAGGTGGGTGGGGAGAGGGTGGCAGGCTGGGGCAGGGCTGCCTGGGGGCCGCCTCTTTATGCAGGCAGATGGCAGGCCAGGGGTGCTGCCTCCCCCAGGCTCCAGTCCCTCCAACAGCCCGAACAGCCTCGCCTTCACAGGTGAGGCTCCCAGACCCCAGGGGACCTCAATTTGGGAAGCAGCATTGGAAGGAGGCTTGAAGGGATGGGCCCTGAGGGGCAGGCGACGGTGGAACATTCCAAACTGAGAGCAGAGCAAACAGCAAGGCAAGGAAGATGGCCCGGTGGCATTTCTGGGGTGGATATGCAAGAGGCAGACAACCTGTGGGTCTGGGACTCCAGAGAGACAGAGGCTGGAGGTAAAAATAGGGCTACAGCCCTGACCCGTGTGGCACAGTTGGTCAGGTGTCATCCCACAAAGCAAAAAGTCACTGGTCTGATTCCCAGTCAAAGCACAAGCTTGGGTTTCGGGCCAGGTCCCCAGTTGGGGCACATGCAAGAAGCAACGGATCCATGTTTCTCTCACACATCAACGATGTTTTTCTCTTTCTCCCTTCCTTCCCTCCCTCTAAAATAAACAAACAAACAATTTTTTAAAAGATAGGGCTACACACGCCCTGGCTGGTGTAGCTCTGTGGATTGAGCGCAGGTCTGCAAACCAGAGGATCGAGGTTCAATTCCCAGTCAGGGCACATGCCTGGGTTGCAAGCCAGTTCCCAGCAGGCCAGTTCCCAGCAGGGGATGCACTAGAGGCAACCATACATTGATGTTTCTCTTCCCCCTCTCCTTCCCCTCTAAAGATAAATAAATAAATAAATAAATATTAAAATAAAAAAGATAGAGCTACACCAACAGGGTTCCTACGGCTGGATGAGAGCCAAGGACTCACCCTTGGGGAAAACAGGCACTTTTAGGGGGTATGAGGAGCCCACTGCACCCCTGAATCCAGACACTCCAAACTTCTGTGTTTCCTTGCACCCACCCGCCCGCCTTTGCCTGCATGTTCCCCTCTGCCCGGACTGCCCTTTCCCGTCTCTCTCCTCCAGGTAAATGTTTTATTCCTTGTTTAAGAACCAGCTTAACGATGGGGGTGGGGTGGTGGGGTGGGCTAGGGTGGGATGGGAGTAAAAGACAGAAAATGGTACTTGAACAATAATTAAATAAATATTGCTTAAAAAAGAAAAGAACCAGCTCAAATGCCTCCTCCTCCAAGCAGCCTTCCTGACCTCCCTCAGGGGGAACCTCCTCCTCCGAGGCGCCTCTGGCCACACCCCCACCTCATCCCTGACTGGGGCTTGGCTCACAGCGGGTACTTACTACAGTCCGCCACCCAGGTGCTCTGGCTCCAGACCCCCTTGTCTCTGTGGTTCTTCCAGAGTTCCTCTCAGCTCTGAGCTGGAGGGGGCTAGTGGTGAACCTCCCTCCCCACAGGGAACTAGGTCCGCCACCTAGGCACCCAGCCTCTGCTCGTCTCCGAGACCAGACCCCCCAGCACTCCCCTGGGGAGGAGCATCTTGGGGTAACTAAGTGTCCAGGGGGATAGGAATAGCCGGATGGGGCAGATGACCCAGAAGAGGCCCAGCAGTGGGCAGGACCCAGGGCGGCAGCGTGAGCTCGGGCAGGTGGCCAGGGGTCCTGGGGCTCGTGCCTCGGCCAGTGCCATCACTCTCGCTTCCCAGCAGAGGCCCTGAGTTTCTGACAGAGACTGGACAAGGTCCCCCGCACCCCCCGTCCCCCAGAGCCAGCCACCCCCAGGCCCCAGGCCAGGCCAGGCAGGGCCTCCTCACTGCCAATCCCTCGCCTTCTGGTTCACATTTGCAGCCTTTTCCGGAGCGCCACCCACCGCCCGCTGCCTCCCCACGCCTGCCAAAATTCCTGGGCCTTCGTGGCTTCCCCACGCGGTGGTGGCGGCGGCAGCGGCAGGCAGCGGCTGCGGCAGGAGGGGCTGGGCAGGGAGGGGGCCCGGCGGGAGCACAGCCAGGCCACTGCACCCGGGCAGGCCGAGCAAACACAGGCCCACGCCAAGGAGCCAGAGAGAAATAGTTCATAAATGAGAAAAAGCTGCTTCCGAGTTGGGCCGAAATGTTCAAGCCCAGGCCGCAGGGAGCTGAGGTCACCTGCAAGCGGGGCTGCCTGCTGGACATCCCGCGGCTGGGAGGGGCTTCCGCCGCTGCAGGAGGGAGCAACGTGAGACGGCAGCCAGCAATGGCCTCACCCAGGCACCGATGTCGCTGGCCAGGTGCCCCCAATCCAGCTTACCTTTCAGGTTGGAGGGGCCGCTAAAGGTCCCAGCAGAGGGGAGTCCTGAGGGTGGAAGAGAGAAACAGTGAGGAAGATTCCAGGAGCCCAGACGCCTCCTGCCCTAACTCACAGGTACCCCAGTGCCCACCACAGGCTTCCTACCAAGAGCCCCTCCTGGGCCATCGGCCCCGCCCTCACCCCTCTTCTTAGGGAGCCAGGACATGACTCCCTTCATTCATTTTGTGCATCCTTAGCAGTGTCCACAGGGTGCCTGGCCCTCATGTGATGGAGCTCCTCCGGTGCTAGGGTCCTTCTGCGAGCCTGCCCTTGTACTAGAGGAATCCCTACCACATACAGGCCCTGCGCTGGGGTGGCCTCACTGTAGGCTCGGGTTCCTGCCCGGGGAAATGCCTACTGTGTGGGGCACCCTAGGCTGGGCCTCGGGACACAGAAATGGCCCCACCCCTGCCCTGCCCCTGAACCAGCTGGAGGCATTAGACAGGTGGCCACCGCACAACTGGCCAAGATCTCTGGCTGTGGGAACACAGAGCAGGGAACACGGCCTCCCCCTCGAGTTTCCCCAGAAGGGTTCAGGTAGAGAGGGATACTGGAGCTGGGTCCTGATAGGGGAGTAGGGGTCCGAAGACAGACAAAGTAAGAAAATTAATTTCTGGCCGTAGGAAGCTGCTTGGCAGCTTCAGGGAAGATCCAGAGCTATGGGGTTGAGAGGAGGGGCAGGAGCTGAGAGAGCTGAGGCAGCCCAGTGAGGAGCCTTGAACTCTGTGCTGTTTGCATTCCTCCAGAAGGCAATGGGGAGCCACGGAAGGTTGTGGGGAGGTGATGTCGTCAGGACCCTGAATGGCCAGGTTCCCATTTCTGCCTCAATCAACCACGATGCCAGGCTGTCGCAAGCCCTAGTCTGGGTTACACAGCTGTCCATGGGGGAAGGGGGACTGGGGTTGTAGTCCAGGCCAGGCGTGACTCCTGGGTGGGTGGGGAGGGGACACACAGCCAGCCCACCTGGCAGGGAGACCTGCGAGCCGCATCACTCTCTCCCCAGCCGCTCGTTTGCCTCTGCCCGCTCCCATGGAAACTCTGACGGCCCGGCCCTGTCTCTCGCTGCACAGGCAGCCAGATGCCCAGGCCAGCGGCTCCCAGGCCTTCTCTCCGGCTCAGTGGAGCCCAGCCTCTGTCCCGCTGCTCTGAACGCCGTCGCCCACAGGTGGGTCTGAGGGCCCCGCTGGCTGACAGCGCCCCGTGCGAGGGCCTCACCACCTAACTCTACCCGCGCCGCTCTGGCCCTGCCCTCACCCCCCCATCAGGCTCCGGGAGGGGAAACGGCTTCTCCTGGGTCTGAATTTTGAAGAATGAACATGGATTTAACTGGGTGAAGACATGGGAAGGCAATCCTTCTCGGCCAAGGAAACAGCATGTATGAGGGTATGGAGAGGCCAAAGCTTGGGATGAAAATTAAAAAAAAAAAAAAAACAAACACAAATAAACTAACTAAACATACCTAACAATGATAGTTCATCTAGTACATGCCAGGCACTGTTCTGAGATTTTTCATGGGTTATTTAATTTACTCTTTACAACAATCCAGTGCAGTAAGTACCTTGTCTTCCCTTTAAACAGACAGGGAAACCAAAGGACAGAGAGGTTAGTAACTGACCGGAGGTCACACAGCCCATCAGGGCAGAGCCTGATTTTGAACTTAGCTGTTGACTCCAAAGCTGGCGCTCTTCACCTCTCCATTACACGCAGGTGATCTGAGGTGAGACAGCTGGCTGCGTCAGCAGGTGAAATGCCTTGAATACCAGGATGAAAGACCCCAGGCCCAGCTTAAACTGGCTCCCCATCCCTGCCGGACATGTTAGCCTTTAAATCCTAAATTCGTTTTATGCACCAGACGTAGCACTCGGCACGCTCCGGGCATTCTTTCATCAACTCTCCCATAACTGTGTAAGGCCGGAATTGCTGTCCTATTTTTCTGAAGAGGAGCCCTGAGGCCCCAAGAAGTGACACCCACTCTCTGAGATTACTGGGCTAGGAAGGAAAGGGCGGGGCTCTGAACCTTGGAGCTTGCCCAGCGCCCCCAAATGGCCAAACCCTGTATACTTGGGCCTCCTGGAGACCTCAGCTACAGGTCTTTCTCCTGGCCTCTCCACCCCTACCTGGGCTACTTGGACCCAGGTGGCAACACGGGCCCGCAAGGCTAGGCACAGAGTAGGCAGCCTTCATCACGGGCTTCGGGGGTGCCCTCCAGTCGACCAAAGCCCCCTCTGCCCTACAAAAGAGGAAGCTGGGGCAGTGCCTGAGCCCATTTCAATGGGACTCTGTTCTTAACCTCGGTCCCAGCTGCCTCCCTAATCCCCTCCCAGAGCGCCTCCCTGGTGATATCTCCTCCTTACACAGAGCCTGCCGCCACCTAAATCCCAGGCCAGATGTGGGTGGGACAGGAGGCACCCCCAGCCCCCATCAGCTTCCAAGAGCTGCCAGCCTCCCAAGGGGGCTGGCCAGGACCCCAGGCCCGCCTCCTCACCCCAACTTTCCAGACCGAGACGCTGAGAACCTTGAGGTGAATAGCCGGCCTCTGCCCGCTGTCTGAGCCTCCACCACGAGCAGGCTTGGGGCTGAGTCTTGTTTAAAAACTCACAATGGGCCCTGACTGGTGTGGCTCAGTGGATTGAGCACTGGCCTGCGAACCAAAGCATTGCTGGTTTGATTCCCAGTCAGGGCACATGCCTGGGTTGCAGGCCAGGTCCCCAGTAGGGGGCATGTGAGAGGCAACTAACGTTGATGTTTCTCTCCCTCTCTTTCTCCTACCCTTCCCTCTGTCTAAAAATAAATAAATAAAATCTTTTAAAAAATAAAAACTCGCAATGGATTAAGAGCCCAGTTTCATGCCTTCTCCTCCCATCTCTATGTCTTGTCTCACTGGCGTGTGACCTCACTCGTCTGCACCTCCGCTTCAGCTTCCAAAGTGGGAACTATTCCCACTTGGTGGAGCGTTTGTGAGGGTTAAACGAGTCCATTTCACACAGTAGCCTCCAAGCAGTGCTTGGCATAAAGGAACATTCCATAAATGTTTGCTGTTAGCATATTATTCTGACCATCACGACCATGACCCCCCCCAAAAGCCCTGTGAGTTAGATATAAACCGTACTCTACAGGTGGAGAAACCAAGGCCCAGTGGGAAGTCACCTGCCCAAGTGCGCCCAGCCAGCCAACGAGGTTAGAACCCGAGCTGCGAGGCCACAGATGATGAGGGTGGGCTCCCAGCGGCCTGTAGCTGCGGATGATGTGTTGGGGGTGGGGTCCCCCAGCCCCTCCTGCCTCACCCCCAGGAGCTCCTCCACCTAAGCTCCTGCTACTGCTGCGGGAGGGGGCTTGGCATTCCAGGCTAAGCAGCAGGATTTGCTGGGCTCCGGGAACTATGAGAAGAATGCTTGCCGCGAGCTGAGCCGCCGTTGCGGGTCAGAAGGAGCGTGGCCTGACCAGCTCACGCCAAGCTGTGCATCCACCGGCTGCCACCACGGCGGGAGGAGAGAACAGAAAGCCTCTGGGTATTGAGGGCTGCGCGTGTTAGACGTGGGCAGACCTCCTGAGACCTTGTGGGAGAGGAGAAGTGGCTCCTCCACCCCGTGATCTATGTCGCTTCTCGCCACAGGCTCTAAGGAGAGCTGGGATGGTGTTACTGACCCATTTCACAGGTGGGATGAAGGAGACTCAGAGGAGAGCTCACCTGAGGTCTCGCAGCAGCTCTGAAACCAGAGACCAGGACCCCATCCTCCAGGAGGCTGCCCTCCCTCACAGGGCCCATGGGGACGGCACATTTTGGATACTAGAAAACCCAAAGCAGCCCAGCCCTCACTCTTCTGGGCTCGCTCCGGGCCTGACCTTCTCATGCCTCTACTCCCCCATTGAAAAGGGGTTCCTCACCCCTCAGAAAGCACCTCAGCTGTGCTATGAAAATGCATGGTGCACTCTCCATGCTTGACAAGCGAGCTTCCTTTCCTTTCCCCGCCAACCCAAGCAGAGCGCAGGGACCAGGGGTCAGTGGGAGCGTGAGCTGCGCATGTCACAGACCTGGAGTGAATCCCAGCCCAGCACTCAGCAAGGGGACACCTGGCCAGCTAACCCACCTCTTGGGGCCTCTACCTCCCTCTCTGTTAAATGGGCCACCAAGCCCTGCAGCACTGTTACAAAGAATAAATGAGACACAAACTCTACTGGTCCCTTCCTCCAAAGGGACAGAAAGAAGAACCAAAATTAGAGAACTTCAGGGGACAAGGCTCCTTCCACCCCAGGTGCTCTGGGAGAAAGGGAGCTCTGAGCCCAGGGTCCTGGCCTCTGGGCTCAGCCCTGCCACTGGCTGCTGAGTGACATCAGGCAAGTTCCTCTCAGAGCCTCGGTACACACACGTCCGTGAGAGGAGCCCGTAATGCGGCATGGCTCTCCCCGCGAAGTACCAACTCTCTGCCACCCCTTGTTCTGCCCTCCAAGAGCCAAGAATCTTAGGCCATCCAGGCTGCATGGGAAGAGTCACCTCCCAATTCGAAACTTTCCAAGAATCTAAACAGAAGCAGAGCCAGGTCCCCCGACCCCCGAGTCCCTGCCCAGGATCTAATGACACAGGTATAACACGCTGACCAGACACCTGGGAGAGACTGCCATGCTGTGCCCTGGTCACTCGTGTGAGCTGGGACCCCCCCCCTCAGCCCTCCGTTGGGAAAACAAACCTGGAGACAAGTATTAGCATTCCCATTTGATAGATGGGGAAACTGAGGCCCAGAGCTGGGAGGTCCTTACCCAGAGTCACAAGGAAGGTAACCAAGACCTGCCTGGCTCCCAACACCATCTCTTCTGCTCACTGCGTGCCCTGCCCTACTCAGACCCGCTCCAGACAGAGTGGGTCTGGAAATCCCTGTCCTGGAGTGTGACCTCCCTAGCTGACGTCTGGACACTCAAGTGTACACGTGTGATCTTGCACACCCCCTGGGCTTCTGTCCATACCCCGGGCCTCCCAGACATTATTCGCCCTGCCCCAGTGTATGGCCACGCTCAACACCCAGACCCCTGCCATCCCAGCACACCAGTCCCTGGGGCCAAACCTCTGTGTCCCCTTCACCTGCCTCTTCTGGGGGCAGGCCCCAGTCACCCAGTACAAGGCACCTGGCCTGCCCCCTGGTCATCCCCCCAACCCATCAGCCACCGAGGCCTGTCCAGTCTCCTCTTACTCCTCTCCATCTGCTTCTTCCTCTCATCCCCAAGGCAACCTCACACCTCAGTTCCCAACACCGTCCTTCCTGACTATAAAGCCCCCCTTTGTCCTTGACCCCCAGGGAAACCAGAGTGACAGCCAGACTGCACCACTCCGCAGCCCACGCCCCTTCTCTGGACAAGACCTTTAGAAATCTGGCCTCAAAGTGGTTGCCATTGCCCTCCACTCACTTCCCCACGGCGTGAGCCAGCGACTACTCACTGTCCCGAGCGCCCTGCGGAGAACTCTGCAGCTCCCCACCGCCACACCTCCTCACACAGCGTTGTTCCCTCGGACTGGAATGCCCTCCCGCTCACCCCTCACCGCCTGCACCTGGCAAAGTTCTTGTCGGCTTGAAAGTCCTAGCCAGGCCCTGGCTGGTGTGGCTCAGTGGACTGAGTATCAGCCTGGGAATCAAAGGGTCGCCGGTTCAATTCCCAGTCAGGGCACAGGCCTGGGTTGCAGGCCAGGTCCCCAGTAGGGGACGCGCAAGAGGCAACCACACACTGATGTTTCTCTCCCTCTCTTTCTCCCTCTTTTAAGTAGATTAATTAATTAATTAACTAACTAACTAAATATTAAAAAAGAAAGAAAGCCCTACCCAGCTGCTGCCTCCCTGACCACCCCTCCCTGACACACACTGTGGCCTGCACCATGTACCTGGACAGACACCCGGAGATACAGCTGCGCCCCATATGAGAGGTCGCTGTGCCCTTCAGTTCTTCTCCCACCCCAACTCCTCATACAAATGGGGCCAGTTCACCTGAGACCCCACTTTCTTACAAGGGGAGCCCCATGCCTGCCACTGGTGGGGGCATCTGGTGTGGGAGGCAGCAGGGCAGGGAAGCTGGGGTCTGGCTCAGGCCCGGGTTGGGGGTGGTAGTGAGGGGCGCTCGGGCTGACAGCCCTGTCCGGTGTCTTTCCCTACTCTCTCTCTCTTTTTGATACAATTTTTTAAAGCTTTCCTTATTTCCCTTCTTTTTTACTTTAAGATTTTACTTATGTATTTTTAGAGAGAGGGGAAGAGAAGGAGAAAGAGAGGGAGAGAAACACTGATGTATAAGAGAAACATTGATTGGTAGCCTCTTTTATGCCCTCAACTGGGGACCTGGCCCAAAACCCAGGCACATGCCCTGATCAGGAATCAAACCAGCAACCTTTCAGTTTGCAAACCAGCACTCAATCCACCGAGCCACACCAGCCAGGGCACTGATAAACTTTTTAAAAAATTTATTTGAGAGAGAGAAAAGGAAAGAGGAGGAGGAGAGAGAGAGATCAATTTGCTATTCCCCTTATTTATGAATTCATTGGTTGACGCTTGTATGTGCCCTGACCAGGGGTCAAACTTGCAACCCTGGTGTATCAGAACCGTGCGCTGGCCAACTTGGCTACCCAGCCAGGGCTTTTTCCCTTCTCTTTTGCTAGCAGACACATTTGCTTCCGTTTTTTTTTTTTTTTTTTTCTTTCCCCTTCCTCTGAGCCAAAGAGCAGAAACACTCATTTTCTCTGTGGTGGACAATGTGAAACCAGAGAGAAAGCCCCTGGTGAGTGTGTCTGGGTGTGAGGGCATGTGTGTGTGTTCTCCTGTCTCAGTGCCTCTGGCCAGGCCGTGTGAGGCTGCCGTGTGTCTGTAGGAGTTTGGGCACGTGCGTGTGTCTGCACGTGCCCTGTCTTTGTTTCAACATCTTTGGTGGTGTGCGTTTCCGCGGGGCATGTTCACCTGGGTGATTGTATGTGACTGTCAGCGGGAGGCAGAGTCGCTGTGTGCGACTGTGTGAGAATGTCTGTGATGTGTCCTCGTTGTCGTTTGGGGGTGACTGTGTTCAAGGGTCTGTCCGTGCTCACCAGCCCAGCAGGAGGCACTGGGGGCATCTGGGTCCTAGCACAGACCGCCAGTTCGCCATGGTGCCTGCCCTGGGCCCCAGAATGGGCTCCCTGAGGGCCTCCATCTGCCCAGGGCAGTGGTGATCAGCCCCAGAGAGGGCCCAGGCTGCCTGCCCCTGCAGCCACCTCAGCCCCACAGCCCCCAGACCATCCAACTGCTGCGGGCAGCTCCTGGGAGGGTGCCTTTGCTAAGGGCACTCTGAGGAGGGGCTGGACCCGGGCCACCAAACAAGGCACAGGCCTTAGCAAAAGGCCCTGAAGCAAGAGGAAGGACGCTGGAGTTGCCAAGGTCCCCCAGAGAGAGGTCAAGTGGCATTTCTGTGTCAGGAACCCAGCATGTTCTCACACACACTGAGGGCCTCACACACCTACTGACACACACACATTAAGAACACACTGGCAGACGCTCGCTGTGCCCTTCACACCCGGCAAGTGCACACACTGACAGGCTCACACGCAGAAGCACACACGGCCAGCAGACGCGGAAGGCCGGCCTTTCCCGGGCTCCTCGGTCTGAACAGCATTTCTGGTCCAGGGGCCCCTGAGCAGCGTCTCCTGCCCCAGTCCCTCTGGGCTCGGCACGACGCTCACCCCTGCAAAGCCTCGGTCTGGAGCTGGGGGGAGGTGCCGAGCCTCCCGCAGGGACATTCCGAAAAACCTCAGTCTCCAGTTTGCGGGGAGTGGGTGGTGCTGCCGGGACACCTAGAATAGGAGGGACGTGAGGACAGAGGCAGAAAAACCGAGACACTGGAAGGTGGCCAGCAAACCAGCCATGGCAGAGGCGGGGGTGGGGGTCGGGGGAGCGGCGAGAGCGGCGAGAGCGGAGGGGCTTCGCCGCCTGGGGCTGGAGCGCGAGCGAAGGCCCCCACGCTCGCCCTCCTGTCTCCTCCACCTGCCTGCCCAGGTTTGTCATTCCCATTCCGCAGGTGGGAAGGAAGAATCCTGGAGGTGCAGGGACACGCTGAGCCACATCGTCAGGGAGCCCCCCTTCTGGGAGACGGAGAGAGCAGGGGGCTTTATCTTGGGTCCTGCCGGGCGACTTCTGCGTGGGGAGCAGGGACTAGGCGCAGGGCAGGGGATGGGCTCCCCCATCCTTCCGCCGACCCCCGGGCCCCAGTCCCCATCCCGTCCCCTCCCGGAGCCCGAGGAGGCACCGGGCCAGCAGTCCCTGACGGTCTCGGGGCAGCGCGGGCCGGTCCTGCCCTGCGAGCCTCCGGAAACCCGGCCTCCGCACCAGCCTCCCCGCCGGTACCTGCAGGGCAGTCGCGGGGCGCCGCTCCCGACCCTCGAGGGAGGCTCCGAGCGCGCGGTCTCCGAGGAGGGGGCGTCGTCGGGGTCCGCGCCGCCGGCGGGGCTCCGCGTCGCTCTGCCCGCCGTCCCCGCGGCTGCCGGAGTGGGCGGGCGGGAAGGGGGGGCCCGGGGCGGCGGGAGGGGCGCGGCGGGGCGGGGCCTCCACCCTCCTCTTTCCACAGCCACGGCCAAGGCCCGCGCCCCGCCTCGCCCGCGCGCCCAGCTCGGCCCCGACGTGGGCCTGCCTCCCGCCCCAGGACCCGTCCCGAGACACCCCCACAGCCGCACACGTCCCGACCAGCCGGTCCCGCATCGCGCGCTCACCCTCTGCCTGCGGGGCCCGTGCCCCCGAGGGCTGCCGTCTAGGGCGCACGGGCGGCGGAGAGGCGCGGCACGGGGTTCTCAGTGCCGGGAAGGGGCAGCGCAGGGGCTGCGGCCCATCCGTGAGCGGCCACAGAGGGCTTCCTGCAAGTGGTGACCTAGGCCGAGGGAGGAGGGGCGGTGGGATGCGCACCGCGGGTGGAGGAAGGGTCAGAGGCAGACGGGGCTGCAGGCTACGAGATCCTGCAGGCCAGGCCACGAGCTGCTCGGGCTTCACCCTCGGGAAAATGGGAGCCACAGAAGACACTGCCGCAGTGCAGTGACTGGGCAGGACTGTGCTTTAGAAAGCGCCCCCGCCCCCATTCTGTGCGGAGGAAGACAGAGGCGGGGGACTTGGGTGAGGAGGCTGCTGGAGCAGTCGCAGCTGGTCCGAGAGGGGGCCCGTGGGGGCCAGAGGAAAGGGCCAAGTGCGAGCGGAGTTGAGGAGGTGGAACAGGCGGGATGTGGGTGAGGGCGAAGGGGCGGTATCCAGGGCAGTGCCCGCGTTTCTGACTAGGCAACGGGAAGGGGCTGTCTGGGCTGGACGTGCCTGTGGGACTTCATGTACCCACAAGAGAAGTTTCTTTTCTTTTCTTGTTTTTAAATATTTTATTTATTTATTTTTAGAGAGAGAGGGGAAAGGAGGGAGAAAGAGAGGAAGAGAAACTAGTGTGTGAGAGGTGCATGTATTGGTTGCCTCTGGCATGAGCCCAACTGGGGACCAAGCCTCCATGTGCCCTGACTGGGAATTGAACCAGTGACCCTTTGGTTTGCAGGCAGAAGCTCAATCAGTGGACCTACACCAGCCAGGGCAGGAATGAGATTTCTGGGCCACAGATTAGGAGTTCAAGCTGGGCAGACGGTGACCGATGCCATGGGACAACGCCCAGGGACAGAGTGTGCGGTAGAAGAGGAAGCCAGGCCACGGCTCGGGCATGGTGGACATTCAGAGGGAGCACAGAGGAAGAGGGTCCGCGAAGGAGGCAAAGAAGGTGCTGCTGGGGAGCGGGAAGAAACCAGGAGAACAGAGACTCAGAAGACAAAGGCAGAGGCAGACGTTTCTAGAAAGCCAGGGAGGCCTCCAGGGTCAGAGATCACAGAAGAGCACCCTCTGGGACTGGAAATTTAGGGGCTGATCTTGGAGGTGGCAGTCAGGGACAGGAATGAGGCTCCGAGAGCCAAAGGACCAGCCACAGGGGCGGATGTGGAGGCAGCGAGTGCAGTGGGGGAGTCTAGAGAAACTGAGGCCGAGAGAAGGGGGTTCAGAGGTGCGTGTGTGCACACACGCATGCGTGCACGTGTTCGGCAGGTCCAGAAAAGGAGCTGGGAAGGCCCAAGGCTGCCTGCCTCCGTCACCCCGTCCCCCTCCTCCCGCCTGCCTCTGAGGGCCTCCCACTTTGCTGTCCCCCTGCCAAGGTACACACCAGCCCCGCCACTCCTCGGTGGGGCCTCTCACCCTTGCCCACCTCCAGACCCTGGGCGGGACACCTCCTGTCCTTCGGGGGGACTAAACAGGGCCTTCGGGTATGGCCTCTCGGCCTGAGCTGGCCCAGAGGAACCACAGGGGAACCAGCCTGAGGAAGAGGAGGGGACCTGGTTGGCAGGCACCTATGAGGCCCTCCCCCAGAGCTGGTGTGAAAACTAGGCCCTGGATGGGGATCAGAGGGCGGTTGAATGTTCAGGGAGGGGTGGGAACTAAGCAGCTTAGACTTAAGGTTGACACTATGGACTCAGGGTGCCTGGGCTCAAGTCCAGGAGCTCACCAGCTGCATGAGGTGCCCTTGAACAAGGTACCTAACTAACCTCTGCAGCCTCAGCGTCCTCATCTGCAAGGCTCCCACAGGCTTGCGAAGATTAAACCCGAGAGTGAGTCCACATAGAGCAGTTAGCTCTGAGTGTGAGCTGTTCTTGGAAAGAGGAGAGAGCTCAGGGAAGGGGGGTGGTGACGCAAGCAGACAAGGGGGGTGCACTGTGCTGAGGAAGGGGCTCTTGTGGACTCCACACACACGGACACTCAGACCTGCTCTGCCAGTCCCCCATGATCTCACCCCTGACTTTCCTGACTCACTTCGCAAACTTTCCTGTGGCCTCTGGCCGGATTCTACTGGCACACACCTTTCCCATCCCCTCCCTTGTTTGACCCCTGCCGATTGCCCTTCAGGGACAGAGGGCACAGGGCCTGCTCCTGCCAACCAGCCCGGGGAGGCCTGACCTGTTGTTCTGTGGCCCCATGTTCGCTGGGTCCTCCAGGTGGGCCTCAGCTGCCCGTCCTCCTACAGCGACCGAGACAGCCACGCCATGTCCCTGCCACAGCTGCCTCTTCGCATAGAAACCTCAAGGCAGGAAATGAGTATCCTGGAGCCAGAAGTCTGGGCTGGGCCAGCCCAGACTCCCAGCCAGACTCCCCACCCCACCTGCCAGGGGCTTCCACCTTTGGTCTGTCTCTGGTGGTGTCTGGATTTCAATGGGTTGGCTTTGTCTGTTGTTACCTGCCATGTGGCCTTGGACAAGTAGCTGTGTCTTTCTGGCCCGAGAATCAAAGACTGGCCAGAAAGGACGTAGGGACTGTTCTGGGCCTGAGTGGAGGTATCACATAGGGTGGGTGGTTAAACTGAAGCTGATGAGGCGTGTGACCCGCTTGGCGCAGCCCCTGGCTCAGCCGGTGCTGGCATCTGTCTGGTGGTTCCGAGCATGAGCTGGGGAGTCGAGCAGACCTGGGTTTGGATCCCTGCTCTGCCTCTCTGTGACTGTGGGCAAGTGACTTAATTTCCCCAAACCTCAAAATTCCCCCTCTTCCTCTTTAAAAGGGGGTTAATGATAGTCTTTTTTTTTGTGTGTAAGATTTTACTTTTTTAGAGAAAGGGCAAGGAGAAAGAGAGGGAAAGAAACATTAATGTGTGGTTGCCTTTTTTATGCCCCCTACTGGGAACCTGGCCTGGAACCCAGGCATGTACCCTGGCTGGGAATCGAACCAACAGTCTGTTGGTTCATAGGCCCATGCACAATCCATTGAGCTATACCATGATAGTCTTTAATAGCAACAGCTAAATCTCACAGGGCTCTTACTCAGGCGCTAGTCTGAGCACTTCACATAGATTGACTCATTTAATGCTCACGACAACCCTTTGAGATTGGTATTGTTGTGCTCATTTTGCAGATGGGAAAACTGCGGCACAGGCTTTGCCAGTCTTTCCCTGCGGCGGGCTGGCTCCCCAGTCCTCCCCTTTCCCGCCACACTCGGAACCCCTTAGAAGAGACAGTTAACAGAAAGGGCTTCACACAAGCCTGGCCCACAGCGACAGCTAAGTAAGTGCGAGTAACTGTAATCACTGCTACCACAAGCCTCCCCTTCCTTCTCAATTTCTAACTTGATCTATAGAAATAAGAAGACTCTCTGGGCTCCAGCCACCCCACCCTTCCATCTGTCTGGCAAGCCGAGGGGAGGGGGGGATGTTTGCACAGATGTGTGGTCATGGGTGTGCAAGTAGCTTGGGGAGGGGGTGTGGTGCTGGTAAATGTCTGTCCCACCAGCGCCTTGGAGATTCTGCAGCCTCCATCCCCGCCCCTGACTTCCCACGTCTGGTAGAGGACCAGACTCCTGGTTCTACAACCCCTGGGAAGTCCTTCCCTCTGTCTAGCCCTCCTTCTTTCTTTTCAGTTGCCAGAGGCCTCACTCATGGAACTAGAGAAAGGAAGACCACCTGCCGCAGGCCCACGGTTCTCCTCGCTCCCACCCTTCCACCGGAGCAGATCTCTCAGCTCTATCCTCAAAAATCCCAGTAATGCGGTGCAAATTAAGGTTACCTTAAATATCCTAATCTTATAACAATTTTGCTTCAATCAACATCTAACTGTGACCACATGTGCCCAGACCACCCAGCAGCCAGGTTGGTGGCTTGGGAGGAGGTGGCACAGGACTCCCTGGGGGAGAGGTCTGCGGGTCATTGGGTCACTCTGCGTTCTCCTGGCCTGCCACACTGGGCTGCCCTTCCTCTTCCCCTCCCCCACCTTTTCTCAGGCAGCTCAGGAGGAGTGGCAGGCCCCGGGTGGAGCCTCCTTATCAGGCCCCTAAATAGCTGTGCTGGGGGCTGGAGAGGCGCCCCAGGCCAGGGGATGCTGGGCCGGCTTCACAAGCGCACAGCCCCAGAGCTCCATATTCAGAAGGCCTTGGTTCAATGCTCTTCTGGGTCATCCTGAAATTCATAATAATTTTTTCCATAATATTTTTGAGCAAGGGGCTCTGCATTTTCACTTTGCCCCGAGCCCATAAATTATATAGCTGGCCCCGGTGCAGGCCCACACCCCTCGCTCTGGGCCCCCTCACTCCATTCTCACACTAGGTCAACACCCAGGCAGGAAAAACAACCTGAGCACCTACTTTGTGCTGCAAGTACCGCTAGGTGCTCGGGGGTACAGTGGTGAACAAAGACACGGCCCTGCTGTCGCAAAATTACCGCCTGCGCACCCTCAGACGCCCATCCATCCACGCACGGTGCAGCCAGACAGCTCTCCCAGTAACAGTCACGCGCGCGTCGAAACTGCCGACCAGGGACACTCAGCCTATGCTCAAAACAGACAGCAAGGGAGGCCAACTTGCGATCCCCATTTTCCAGATGGAAAAACCGAGGCTCTGGGTTCAAATCCTGTGTCCAGGGTCACAGAACCAGTAAGGAGCCAAGCCAGGACTTGCTGTTGCCTCTATTTCCAGCCTCTCCTCTCCGCCCCACCACACGCACTGTGCTCAGTGGCTTCCGAGGGCGGAAGCTCCCAGCACCTCCATGTCCCCTGCCCCCAGCACGGGGCTACATGTTCACTAAATGAAAGAATTCACACACAGACGCACCCCCCAAGAAACACGAGAAAAGAGACACACGGAAGCACACACGCATAAACATATATGGAACAGGTGACTGACTGGACAGGAAGTGTCCCCTTCTGGACCACTTGGGTTCCAGTCCTGACTCTACTACGCATTATCTGTTTGCTCACCTGAAAATGGGAACAGTGACAGGGCTGGTGTGAATACTGCGGGAAGTGCATGGGAGGAGCTTAGCCCAGCGCTGGCACACTCTTCAATAAATGTCAGCTGTGGCTGTGAGTCACGTCCGCTCGCACTCACGCGCGTTCTTGCCCATCACACCGCCTTCCCACCCCTCCTCTAGCCCAGCTCAGTCCTAGAGGCCCTCGTGGCTGACAGTCCACGTCCCAGATACAGGAGGGAAGAGCCGCTGCTTCTCTCAGCATCCTCCATCCTCCTGGGCTATACCTGGGTCTATCGGAGAAGGCTTCCTGGAGGAGGCCTCCGCCCAAGAGGCTTAGGCAGGAGAGTGCTGCCCTGTGCCTTGGCTCCCTCCCTTGTTCCTCACAACACCCACCCCCAAACTCTGCTGCAGCGCCCTCTCTCCACCCCCTTCCCCACAGTAGAAACTTTCCTCTCCTCCTGCCAGAAGCGTAAATTGCCCCCAGGAATGCGCTGCATCCCACAGCTCCCCTGGCAGTGGCCGGCAGCAGTCCTGGGGTCAGGCCTGGCCCTACATCAAAGGCCGGGGATCGCAGCAGCAAGGCTCGCCTGCTGCCACCCCGCCCCCTCCCGCCTCCTACGGGCCCTCTGGCTTCCAGGGAACAGCACATGGTAGCACTTAAGCTCTGGGAGACCAGGAGGATGCTTTTCCTGCACCACCCCCCCAACCATCCACAATGAACTACTTGTTAGGAGACTATTTTAATTTTACTTAATGCAATTTCTGCTCCTGGGCCTCTGTTGCCACCTCTTTCCCAGACCAGGATGCCCAGTACAAATGTAAGGAGGCCAATCCGTCAGGGAAAGGCGTGACCTGAATATGGAAATGTCACTGGTGGGAGACTGGGGCAGGAACAGGACTCTCTTACACCGGGGGAACAGAGCTGGCGCTCTGGTCTCCACTCAGGAGGTGACAGGTTGGTTAGGGGAGGGCTCGGAGGTAGCTTGTACAACTCAGCGGGCCAGCGTGAGAGCTGGGGGTGTGTATGGGGGCTTCTTAGCCAACGTGCTCTTTCTCTCCAGTGCCCTGGGCCTGGCAACCACCCGAGCTTTGCATTCCGGGCCCATGGTTGTGACTGGAGGAAGGGGGCATTTCCTGGCTCTGACCAGCCTCTGAGATTTGCTTCCTCAGGTGCATCTTCTAGCAAATTCTGAATACCTGGGGTCCAACAATCACTCTCCACGACAGTACAGTGGTGATCTGGAGACCCCTGGTGGCCAAAGGTTGCAGAACAAGGGTTCCCTTAGAGCTCTGCCCAGCCAGTGTGCAGCCCAAAGGCCACCAGCGTGGACCCCTTCAGGCCCAGAACTCCCTGCAACCCAGGCTCTTTGGAGCCCTCCTTAGTCAGCGCCCCCCATGCAGCCAGGCACGCCTGCCCAGCTCGCAGGAAAGGTGTGCCTGTATGTCAAGGATAATGGGCACTGGCCCCGCCTGGGGCCCCGGGGAGGGTCCCCACCTCACAGTCACAGTAAAGCAGAGGGACACACAATCTACAAGAATTAATCCTGGGGTGGGGGCACCAGCAGACACGTTGCTGGGACTTTTATGTTTGGCTCACGTGGGAAAGATGATTGGGTGACGTTCCGAACGGCTGCATGGTCCTGAGCCCTTTCCTTTCCCTGTGGGGCTGTAACTGGAAAAAAGTCATGGGGGGGAGCCTTGTTTCCACAGCTTGCCTACCCTGTCATGTCGCCCGAGATTCACTCTGGGAAAGGAATTATCCAAACCTCAGGCCACACAAACAAACAGCTGCAGGAAAGGGGCTGCGGGCACTGGGAGGAGAGGAAGGGCGAGGGCCCTGGAGGGGGAGGGAGGTGCAGCCCACTGTTCTTGGCAGTGTCCGGGCACCGCACAGCCTCCCCATGGCTGGGCCCAGCGTTCGTTCCCTCGCTTCTCCTTCATCCATCCACTCAAAGTCTGGTGCAGCTGGACCCAGCCTTACACCGGTTCTAAGAATACAGTTGACCAAAATGGGGTGCCTGCCCCAGGGCCCCATATTCTACTTGGTGGGGGAAGTAGAGGCTCAGAGAAGGATGGGACCCCAGAGAAAGCATGGGCCTCCCTGTACTTGGAGACACAACGTGACCCTCCCCCTCAGCAGGCTAACCGAGCTGGAGGAGGCAGGTCATGGGCAGGCTGCCCCTTACCGGCGTCCCAGACGCTGCACGCACAACGCACCATTGCTGCTCATCTCAGGCCTGTCTACCAACCTTGCAGAAGGCCTGGCCAACACCGACCCACCACCAACAACCTGAGCATCTGGACCTCAAGGCCCTAGATATCCCCAAATTGCTACCAAACAAAGCGTGACAACCTCTGGTCCCCCCCCCCACACCCTTTAAAAGCTATCCTAAGCTCTGTCAAACTAGGAGGGGAAGTCACGGGCCTGCTCCCCGCCCCTCAACCCACAGTGCTAACCAGTCATCAAGAACACAGGCTTTACCCTGGCTGGTGTGGCTCAGTGGGTTCTGCAGGTCACCGGTTTGTGGGTTGTTCAACAAAAGGTCACCGGTTTGATTCCCAGTCACAGATTCACAGGCCAGGTCCCTAGTAAGGGGTGTGTGAGAGGCAATGGAGATCACTGTTTCTCTCCCTCTTTCTCCTCCCCCTTCCCTTCTAAGAATAAAATCTTTAAAAAAAAGTTAAGAAAAAACTAACATGAACTTTGTAGTCTGGCTGGGGCTTTGAACGCTAGCTCCTCCACGTATTAGCCGTCCGGCCTCGGGAACCCTGTGGCCTCCTCTCTGAAAACGGCGTTACTGTGAACGAGACGACCACAGTGTTCAGCAGTCTGAACCGTGGCGAGCACACGACACACTGTGCCCAACACTGGAGTCCACACTGTCTTTACCCGCCAAGCCCCCCAACCTGGTGGCTCAGGTATGTCTAGGACTGATCCTACATTTTACTAGAGACCCAAAAATGACTCTGAAGGGGGCTGGTTTGTTGCCTGGTCTCTCTGGTTGGTGGGGGGGAGCCATTCCCGGACCGGGCGAAAGCAAGGCCGGCCCCAGGACTTCGCTGGTCTCCTGGCCTCATCGAAACAAACTCCCAGGGCTGAGCAGAAAGAAAACAGAACAGGACTGGGACTTCACTCAAGAATGTGTCTTTATTGAAGAATTTGTAAGAAAAGAGGACGAACCCTCTGTAAAAAGAGATGTTGCCTCCAAACAGCAGGGAGGAAGGAGAGACCTGGGTGGCTTCCCAGAAGTCAGCGTTGCCAGCACGACTGGCCCCCCCGCCACCCCGTCCCTGGTGCGCCTCGGAGTGTGCCACACCACCACCAGCAGCTCCGACCCCTCCCGCCTCTCCTCCCTGTCCCACGACCCCGGGTCCCCTGCGGCCATGTGCCGATGGCTTTTTGAAGGCCCAGGGATAGATGTGCTAGCCTTGCCTTTTAATGGGGTCAAAGTGGGTTTTGCTTTGGAAAATTCAAACAGGAATGTAAAATGGTTGACCTCTTTCTAGTGCAACCAAAGATGACTACATCCATCCCCTTAGAAGGGAAAGGGAGCAAAGAATCTCCCTCCTGAATGTGCACACTTACGGGGTGACTGGACTCTATCAGTGTGCTCTTCACTAGCACAGGGAGTGGAAACAAGGTTAGAAGAACAGGTAACATCCGTGTGAAAGAGTCACTCAGTTCTAGAGGGCAGAGGGGCGCTCCTGCCGGCTGCCCCCAAGTCCCGGAGATGGTCACTCCTCTCCAGCGGGGAGATTGTCCTCAATCCGCCTGATGAACCGCATCCGGATTTCTGTCACACCGTCTCCTTTCAGCGTGTCCTGGACAAACTTGGCCTCCACAGCCATCTGGACCTGGGGGACAGTGGGGAAAATGAAGGGGTGGCTGCCTAGCCGCAGCCCCTGGGAAACCGTTGGGGAGAGGTCTGTAATTGGCTCATCCACAGCAGCCAAAAACAGGGGTGGCTTTCCCACATGACAAGACTGTCAATTCCAAGGTTCCCTTGTAGAAGGCAGTGGCCCTGACCCATAAGGAGAGACT